TTTGATAGATATACCTGTGTGTAGTTGGTAACACTTAAATCGCCTAACTCTGTTTATTCAAGTTACTTGAATTACCCGCTCACACTACGGCTCGTTTTATTAAAATTTAAAGCTTTATTAATTTCTATCTTCTAGGATTTAACATTCCAAGGATCTGCTTATCCAATGTCACCACTTGGAGTTCCCGGTGTTCCTGGTGCTGGTGGCACAGCTGCTGTTCCTGGAGCTCCTAAATCAAAAGAAAAACTTTCAGATGCACTTAAGTCATGCAATGAAATTCTTAAGGAACTATTTTCTAAAAAACATTCTGGATATGCATGGCCATTTTATAAACCTGTAGATGCAGAACTGTTAGCTTTACACGATTACCATGATATTATAAAAAAGCCAATGGATTTAGGAACTGTCAAACACAAAATGGACAATCGTGAATATAAAAGTGCTCCAGAATTTGCTGCTGATGTGCGATTAATTTTTACTAATTGTTATAAATATAATCCACCAGATCATGATGTAGTTGCCATGGGTCGCAAGCTGCAGGATGTTTTTGAAATGCGTTATGCAAATATTCCCGATGAACCTGTTGCAAATGCACATGCTGCAGCAGCGGCTGCAGCACACAATGCTCTTACAAGTATAAAACATGAAGCGTCTGATTCTTCTTCCGATGAGTCTTCAGATACGGAAAATGAATCAAATTCAGACGAGGAACGAAATGCCAAGTTGAAAATGCTTGAAACTAAACTGTTGGATTTACAAGAAGAAATGCGTAAATTGATGGAAGAAGCATCCAACAAGAAGAAGGCAAAAAAAAAATTAAAGGAAAAGAAAAAGGTCGGTGCAAGCGGTGTTCTTAGTGGTGGTGGAATTACCCAAGGAGGGAATAATTTAGGCACAGGCGGCGCCGGCGTCGCCACGTTGGGAAATTTGCATAGTCATGATCTAACAACAGCAATAGCAATAGGTCAGTTAAATGTTGCAAACAAAGGGACTCCAATGGCAAGTGTAACAGGAACAGTTGTGAGTGCAGTAGTGAATAAAAGTGCTAAAGTTAAGGGGCCACGTGGCCCAAAAGCTAGTGGAGCATCAGTTGCGGCATCAGGAGCAGGAAGTGCAACTATAGGTAATAAACGAGCGAAAGGGAATGCGAGCACTAGTGTAATTGCTGCTACTGCTAGTGGAGTAGCGCGTGGTCCGAATAAGAAGAAACCTAGCCAAGTAATGAATTTTGACTCTGAAGAGGAAGACACAGCTAAACCAATGTCATATGATGAAAAACGTCAACTGTCCTTAGATATAAATAAATTGCCAGGTGACATTTTTTTTCCGTCTTGTTATTTGCAGCAAAAAAATGTTACATATATTAATGAACTTTAGGTGATAAACTCGGAAGAGTGGTCCATATTATCCAAAATCGTGAACCATCGCTGCGGGACTCTAATCCAGATGAAATTGAAATAGATTTCGAAACATTGAAACCGTCGACGTTACGAGAGTTGGAAAGTTATGTAGCATCATGCCTACGCAAAAAAACTCGTAAGCCTTACTGTAAGTTTATCCCAATGGCACGCACTACTACTACTACAACAGAAATAAAGTTCAAATTACGTTTCATTCATAATATGGAAGATAATATTTATTCCGTCTCAAACTTGAACATAATTAATTTTTTTTTCGCAACTCTTAAAATATTTATACAATATTATTTTACAATTGTAAGCTTTATATACAGAATGCTGTAGAAATTTTATTATTCAGTTTTAGCAAACTTTTACGTTTAATAATGTTAATTATTTGCGCATATATTTACATTGCACGTTTATATAATTGTACATACTAAAACACGCACAATATTGGAAAATATAGCCTTAAAAAACTAATTTGACATAAAAATAATTTATTAAATATATTCAAACAGTTCTGGAAAATTTTATGAGGTCGATCCTTGAAATTGTCAAAATTGCTAAAATTTATTTCAAATTTAAAAAAAATTTTATCAATAAAAAACCAGTGCGTGTATTTTTACGTCTTGTAAATGATTTCTTAATTCTTCTTCTACCTTAAAATGTAAGGAAACAGGCGCAAATATTAAAAGCTCAATTCAACTTATTTTATTTAAAATAAGAAAGAATTATATAAAAAAATGTTGATATTATAAGTTTACTGCGAAAAATTAAACATCCAATTACTGAAAATAAATTTAAATGGAGTAAATAAGGAAAAATAATAATTTTCAAAATTAGAATAGTAGTGACAGTGTTAATTGGATGAACTAATTTCGATCATATTTTTATAAAAATTTTAAAATCCTATTCATGGTTTCTTTAAGAAAACTTTACTCTTAGCTTCTTAATGTATTAAATAGTAGAGTTATTAAAATTGGTTACTGGTGTTGGAAATAAAACTTTTTTCTTTTTAGCCGTATATCCTTTTTATACAGTAGACTTTGTTACAACGGATGTCAGATTTAACGAACGACATAAGTCTGTTATTGTTTATTCCATATAAATTCGTTTATATAAATTTATCAATAACTGCACTAAAAAGCCGTATCGTGTTTAGGTGTTGTTAAAATGACACCTAAAATATTTCACAATTAAAGTGAATCGCTTAATTATTTGAAAAAAATGTATGTTACACCAAAACAATGATCTAACAAAAGGAAGTATAAAAAATCAATAAACACCATCAAGAGACAAAAAAATAAAATTTTTCAAAAAAAAAAATATGAAATGAATAATAACAATTTGGTAAAATGAATTTTTCGATTTAATTATTGTGCTGTAAAAAATATCATTCGTTAAATTAGATGTCTACTATATATGGTATATCATATTTATTTATTTTTAGTCATTTTGAAAATATGTAAATATAATGCAATTATTCAGTATTTCAGTGTAAAAGTTAATACTGTAATATTCAATTTTTAGCTAATGTATAAATCAAAATAAGTCACTTTTTTAATTTGTTGTATTAAAGAAATAATTGGTTATTTTAATCACGCATATGTTTTTGCTAAAGCAATATTTAGTAAACTAATAAAATTTTTTAGTTCTTGCTTTTTAAATAAAATTTTTTCTCACAATCAATCTGCATATAAATTCAATATACCAGAAACATAATTTAAATTAATATACAGTTAAATATGCAGTTATATATTTTTAATAACATTACATGTTAATGCAAGCTAGAAGGCCACAATTTAATTTTTAGTATGCACGAATATTATTTATATAATACAAATAGAATCAAAGAATTTTATATAACGTTCAAAATTTTAGTATTAATGAATATGTTTTTTGATTAATTACTTTGAGTTGCTTTACTTAACTTGTTTTAATTTAGATAAAAAACCATCAGGTAAATCAAAAGATGAACAAATGGCTGAGAAAAAACAAGAATTGGAAAAACGTTTACAAGATGTTACTGGACAGTTGGGAAGTAACAAAAAAGCAACTAAGAAAGGTAATAGTTAAATATTTATTTCTAAAATTGGCTTCACTTAAATTAAAACTGATATTGACCATAAAATCTTGAATTCATTTACTGTTTCCATAAAAGCAGAATTAGATTATTTTATAATTTATTAAATTTAAAAGTGAATATGTGATTAGTGCTTTAATTTCATAAAACCTTAAATTAGACACCGAATTACTTTAAAATATAAGTAGGTCAGATATAAAATATTTAAATAATTTATTAAAAATATATTATTTGTTATTATTATTAGTAATTATTATTATTATTAATTATTATTATTATTAATTATTATTATTATTATTAATTATTATTATTATTATTATTATTATTATTTATTATTAATAAATTATTATTAATAAATTATAATAAATTATTATTAATAAATTATTATTAATAAATTATTATTAATAAATTATTATTAATAAATTATTATTTATTATTAATAAATTATTATTTATTATTAATAAATTATTATTTATTATTAATAAATTATTATTTATTATTAACAAATTATTATTAGTATTTTATTATTAATAAAATATTATTAGTTAATTATTATTAGTATATTACTATTGAAACTTATTATTAATAAATTATTATTATTATTAAATTATTATTAATAAATTATTTATAATATTAATTATTATTAATAAATTATTTATAATATTAATTATTATTAATAATATTAATTATTATTAATAATATTAATTGTGATTAATAATATAAATTATTAATAAATTATTATTAATAAACTATTATTAATAAATTATTATTAATAATTTATTATTTATTATTATTAAATTATTATTAATAAATTATTATTAATAAGTTATTATTTATTATTATTAAATTATTATTATTTATTATTATTATTAAATTATTATTAATAAATTATTATTATTAAATTATTATTAATAAGTTATTATTATTAAATTTTTATTAATAAATTATTATTAAATTATTATTATTAATATATTATTAATAATAATTGTTATTAATAATAATTATTAGTAATAAATTATTATTTATTATTGTTAAATTATTATTTATTATTATTACAGTTTTATTATTATTAAATTATTATTAAT